TACCTTCTCTGATACATTTGTCCGTTGTATATCATATATGGGATTACTTTTAAAAATGTGATTTTTTTTAATTTGACTCAGTATATATACATGGTGGGGAGAGACATACATATTTTATACTTTTCGCATTTTTTGCTGTATTATTCAAAGAACATGAGATAGTGTAAACGGTTGAATACAGACGTCGGCAACATAATTTTCATGAATTGAAAGAAATCATCAAGCATTGAAATCACCATCTGATATATACCTTCGCGCCATCAAAGACTAAACATACACAGAAACACAAAGGCGTGTTTACCCGACCTCAGCGACCTCAGCTCATACAAGAACTGACTGTTCGGGGAAGCCGAGCACGGAGTAATGACATCAGTCTTATTTTTCTTCAAGGGAGCACCTCCAAAACACAAAGCAAAGTGGTCACGTAATGCGTTTTTAAGTTTTCCCTTTTCATTATTTACATTATTGAATGCGTAGCAACATGGGTACAATATATCTTCTGCAAAACATATCCATTTTATAAAACAACGGAACACTTGAATCTTAACAAAGATAAGAATGTCCCATTTAGCTAGTTATTCAACGTGTCCATATACTTGTCTGTGTTGGTCATCTCCATATGGACAGCTCCTTTAGAACTTCCGGGTCCAGGCAACCTCAGATTGTTGTAAGTGGCGACTAAATGAAAAGAGTGGTCAGTGGTCAACTTGGTTGATTGCGTGTCATCGTACCCTCGTGCAGTTGATCGTGTGTCCACACTCGATATTTTACCGGCCGCCATGATACAATTGGAATATTGTTGAATGTGGCGTTCAACAACGGACAAAATGTCCCCCAAATAGCCCATGCGTTCAACTTCATAGAGAGTGTGCGGATGAATAAAAACGATATATATATATCTAGTTCCGAAAGCAACTGATAACGTGTCTGATTTATAAAACAAGAACCAAACTGGGTCGACAGTTGAATAGTGACCTCAATAGTTGAAAACTGAGTACACCTTGTTTAGTGATTAAAAGAGTGTATGCTTATTAAATAATGTTTGAAGTGCAAAGTTTGTTGTTGAGAACTGCAAGACGAAAAACTCGAAGCTACAAATAACACACCCACCCTGCATACAACTACTCGCTAAGAAGTTAACATCAATACACACATTATGATCATTTGTAAAGATAATTGAAACTATAGTCACCTGCGACAAGTTCCAGGCAGAGGAGGAGTATGAACGTTGTATGCATCATCATCATTGTCTTCATTTCACACCGACAGTGAAGGTAGAACGGAGAGACATATATACTCATCTACCAGGACCTAACACCTACTCGAATGTCTCTGAACAAATGTTACCAAACATCACAGTTGACTGAAAGATAAATATCCCACTCGTGTAGGGTGTGACCTAATCACCAGTCAGGGACGGGTTGTATTTCTCCAATAGCTGCCACATGGAAAGCCCGTATGGGGTGTCTCCCGCCGTGATATTGTTGGAATATAGCTGAAAAGGGCGAAAATCTATTCCCACTCAATCACTCAGAGGTATAAGATGAACATGCATTTTATCCAACCCGTACGAGCTGAGGCTAAATAGCTTATGTTTATACCTCCGAAAATATCCATACCATGTATTAAATGTTTGGTCATTCATTTTATTTTATGTGGAAAACACTGCCATTCGTTTTTGTTTTGTATGTTGAATAAAGATGTGTATGTCATTAAGGGTTAACTGATGCATGATGAAACGTTGATATTATCTGTGTTTAGTTATTGATGAATGAGTAACAGAAGATGAGACACTGACAGGACACACATCATGCTAGGGTGTAATTACAGCTGCAGTGCTGTAGTACACTACATGATACACATGTTCACACCTGGACCTGATTGCTTCACATATCATGTATGGTTCAACACAGGCCTTAATGGCTGTGTTCACAAAACCAGCAACTGACAGCTGTTGGTAATAAATGTAGCATTGCTTCTGCCCCAGCACTGAGTGTGCACACCACACACGAGTATGTTTCTTCACCTTCGTGTATGTGATTATGCTTTACAACAATAGTCACAATTTTTGTAGTTTTAATTCCATGTGAAAATTGCATGTCTCAATATTAAAATTTGAAATAACTAATTATGAAAAAGTTATGAAAAAGAACAATATATCAGCTGAAAGTGTCGTTGGAATCCTTATGGTAATGGGATAACTGCATATTCGGAAACTCTTGTCTAATAGAGGATGCAACATGTTAGCTCATTCCGCTAACATTACCGTAAGTCAGCTTTCGGGAGACAGATGGTTATGTTTTGGATAATGGATTTTGTTAACGGTAAGCTAAACACAAGAACGGAAAGGAATGGTCTTCTTATTTGACAGTTTAATAAATCAACCAAATATTCTGAATGTGTGAAATACTAGCTTATCATTCTGTAGTATACAAGTGAGTGAGTGAGTGAGTATGGTTTTACGCCGCTTTTAGCCATATTCCAGTAATATCACGGCGGGGGACATCAGAAATAGGCTTCACACAATGTGCCCATGTCGGGAATCGAACCCGGGTCTTCAGCGTGACGAGTGAACGCTTTAATGACAAGGCTACCCGACCGCCCCTAGTGTACAAGTGAATGAAATTGTATGATAAGAGCGTCCATAAACATACATAACCATTTGTGTTGTTTACGTAGACACCGACACGGTATAAAACAAGGGGGTTGTTTGTAATCTATTTCAATACTTCCCACAAGTGAGAGATATTTCATGTTGAAAGTTAATAAATGGGAAAAGTCCCTTTCCATAGCCACAAGAAGTCTCTGTTAAATTCAGAGTTGAAGGTACGATTCCGACTGTTATTGGCATGTGTTTATGAATAGCTATCAAATTGTGATGAGACCGAGTGTAAGCGTATCCTGCCCCATCGGGGGCTTCCGTCACAAACTTATGTAAGTGCAAGTCAATTGTTCACATAATAATAAAAGAAAGACAACCGTTTCGGTATATGTATGTTTGTATTTATGAATCACTATCAAAAAGTGATGATACCAGGTGTTCTCGAAACGGTCAGTGTATCCTGGAACCCATTACAAACACATGCAAACCCAAGTCAATTGTTACTTGTGCGTCAAATTTGGAAATGTCCTCTAAATATCTCCCACAAAACTGGGGCCTTGAATATTGTAACCTGGATGAAATAGCTTTTGACCAAGAGTTGTATAACGCTCTTTGACATCTTGGTAGAAAGAGCAAGATTGGTTATACCTCAAAAGTTGTGAAATGTAGACACAAAGGGCAGGAATCCTGTTCGACATAAAGGGAAAGTTGACTATTGGAAAGCATAAGTCATTCCTCTTGTCATATAGTCTTGTGGAGAGTGTTTTGTCACTGAATCTTTATGCATAGATCTAAATATGAAACAGATGAGGCAGTCTCACTGGTCTCCTTTATTTCTAGTCCAGGTTGGTAAATCAGTCTAAATCAGGGAATTGTCTATTTGATGATTATGGATATACCTGAAGCTTAAGTAAAACTCTTTGGCCACATTTATTTAACTTTGACCATCCGAGCGTTAATTCCGATTCCGAAAGAAACAGAACACCAAGAAGGGAAGAGAAATTGATGCCCAGAATGTTTACGAGCATGCCAGTATGTACACAGACGCTTATCGTGCTATCAAAATGAACATTGTACCTGTTACCCATTGGATGACGTTTATTGCATGGTTTGCTTTTATCAGTATGTAGAGTCAATGAGTGAGTATTGTTTTATGCCGCTTTTAGCAATAACATGGCGAGGGACACCAGAAATGGGCTTTACACATTGTACTCATGTGGGGAATCGAACCAGATCTTGGGCATGACGAGCGAACGCTTTAACCACTAAGCTACCCCATCGCCCCTGTCTTACAAAATCACATATCATCTGTATGTGAGACTCTCTCATCTGTGTATAGAGTGAGTGCTTCTATCACACTGTAGAATGCCCCCGTGCCAAATGTAAGACGGGCCATGCCAGGAGTGTAAGACGACATTTGATGAGGAAGATGTGCTTTTCTCCTTAGAATAATTTATTTATACTTTCAAACATTGGTATTGTGAGTTATTTGATCATTGTGCTTAACTGTCACAAATATTGTTCATTATTTTCCCGGCTTGTCATCTTTTCTGAGCCTCAACTAAACAATTACACAATCACCGAGTCAGCAATAACGGAAGTTATAAAGCTAAACTTCATCCGTTACTAAGCACTATCTACTGGTCTTTTCTGATCTTGACTTTCATGCTAGTAATTGCACAAACATGCCATTTTGATACATATCGTTCTCAAAGCTAAACCTCATCTGTTCCCTTGAACGACAACACAGATAAACTCATTTGTTGATAGTTGACTGCCAGCGTCAGAAACATCCATACGCACATATTGATTTATACACCATTCTCTATCAGCCTGCATGAACATATCCAACTATTATTGCTCAAGTCAAACATCCAATATATTTTAATGGTGCATGTCACACTACTCAACAGTAAATCATACAAGGTGATACAATGCTAAATCTCACCCGGAGGTTCGCTATTTGTGTAGGCAACACATGTTCAGTTATATATCATCAATATTCCGAACGCTTCAACTGTGTAACGCACCATGTCATGTCAACAATGGACTATTACAGTCATGAAATCTGTGCATTCTGGTTCCCTTATGTTTGGTTTGTGTTGAGTTTATTTTAATGCTATTTGATGTACAAGACGGGAATTAGAGACAGTGAGGAAACTAAACGTTAGGGCTGTAGCTATCATCTGATAGACCTGTTTATCGAATAATCATGAAAGTCATAATAATAATAATAATAGTCATAATAAAATGTGTAGTCTAATACATCAGTTACAAGACAGTCCAGGGATTAGTAGATTCGAAATATAATTATTATGTATAGGCATTAACTGTTGGCTTCGTTGTAATTGTAGTAGCGGTAGTTGTCGGGTGGTAAACACAACAAACGGCTACAGGGTGTGAGCTGATGGCTGTTTATTCTCTTAGAAGAGAATGGTGAATAAATACGGCCTGCAACAATGTATAAATAATAATACATACTGCATACAAGACATTGACATTGATATAATATACATAATGGCCTTACATCTAAGGGATATTCAATTAGCAAGAAACCAATGTTACTCATGTAGGAAGTAACCTGTACAATGATATATATATTATATCTGCTTATGACTCTATAATCAGTTTAAACTAAACATAAACCATGTCTACTGTCATAACACTAGACAAGTACAATACTACATGATAATTACAAAGATATACGTCAGCATATATATAGATACATACATTTATACATTCATGAGTAACACATAAACAATACATACCAGACTGGTGAAACCTGTGCCGTGTCACCAAAGCTTCTAAGATAGTGCCAGTTACATCTGCATTGACAAAGTATAAACTAATGAAGATACTATTTACACTATAATTATACACAACACATAAGTAAAATAGGTATTTAAAATAAGGATTGATCAAATTACTTCAATAATGCACTTTCACACATACGCATACATTCTTGTACACAATTGACACAATTACCTTAATGTGATATGAGGTATAGAATTACTACAGTTTATTTAGGGTTTAGTTTTATTTAGTTATTGTTCAAGTTAAGATGATAATAGCCTAGGATAAATTAGCTATTTATCAATTAAAGAAACTGCTTTATAATACTTTATCATATAAAATAATCATGATCAGAATACACTAACTGTGGATTCAATACAAAACCTGATTAGCAATAAACCAAGCACAACTTATTTCTAACTTTAAGAATTAGAAATACACAAATACATATAAAGTATCATACAAGAAATATACTATGACTAACCTTCAAATCCATGAAATAATCACATCTATTCGATCCATGAATACAAGATCCATTCAAAATATATACAAAATGACTATGGAGTACATATGTCAAGTGTAATCTGGCAACTGCCTCAGATCACAAGCAAACAAAGGTATACCTGTGGTCAGCTGTGAGTGACCACAGAGAACAATAGAGTACTCTATGCGCGGGGTGGGATACTAAGTGCTGTGGGTGAAAAGCATGCAGTGGTATGGTTAGTCAAGGCTGGATAAATAATAGACTGAATGAAACAAAAAAGCTATGGTATTAATGTTTAAGTTGAAATACAATTATATGGCAAAAGTAAGACAGGTAAATAAACTATGTACTACTTAATTCAAATATGAAATAGAATGTGTATAAAACTATAGCTAAAATAGAATTAAAACCTAACTTGTATGTACAAAATATTACTCTGCCACATACTTCCCCCTCCACACAAATGACGTCCTCGTCATTTGCCGGGTTTATCCAGTAGGGAAACTATCATCTGTGACATGGCTCCACCAAGTTGCTGGAAGACTCCAACCTCTGCCAGTTGCTCTAGGAGTTTGGCCTTTCGTCTCCAATCCTCTGCAGTAGCCTGGTTCATGACATAGTCCCCTGAGCGCTGCCATTCCGGTGGTCTTCTCTGTCGGGTAGAGGTTCTTGGTGGTGGTTTTGATTTTGGTCGGACATCAGGTGTCAAAGAGGTGGGAGCTCCTCTAGGTAAGTATGGTTCCTGATCCTGTTATGCAGTTCTTACATCTCCAGCATCAACTTCTGTACTGAGGGGATCTCTGTCCTGCAGTGTATGGCCGTCACCATCAGAAGTTGCACTGTCTACCCCTCCAGTCGTCAGGTCGTCACCTTCAGACTGTGAGATAGCGCCATCTTCCATAAACTCTTCACTGATAATTGTGATGTCATCAGCCACTATGGGTACTCCAGCTGTCAAGCTCTCTGTACTAACCGACTTGATTTCATCCTGGTCCGACACTTCTGTTGTCTCCTTGGCTGGCAATGTTTGTCCTTTCCTGCGACGTGGTCTCGGAGTTGGAATTGGTCTGGCTGGCTTGTCTGGCTCAGCTGTCCTTGGCAAAGATCCTATGGGAAGGAGGTGATTCCTGTGCAGAGTACGTGTTCTGCCTTCTCCGTTTTCCTTCTGCACAACAAACACTGGAATTCCCATGTTTGGCTGAGAAGTAAAGATGTAAGGGTCCTCCTCCCATTTGTCCGAAAGCTTATGCTTGCCTTCAAAGGCTAGAATCTTGACAAGGACTCTCTCTCCGGGTTGCACAATAGCACCTCTGATCTTCAAATCATAGCCTGCTTTCTGTTGACCTTGGGCTGTTCTTGATGCTTTAGAAGCAATCTTGTAAGACTGTTCTAGTCACTGTCTAAGGGCTTCAGCATAAGATGTTAGAGTGTGCTTGTCCCAGTTCGTTTCGATTCCAAATGCAAGATCAATAGATAGGCGAGGCTCTCTTCCATACATCAAGTAGAAAGGAGCGTAGCCAGTCGACTCGTGCCTGGTAGCATTGTAGGCATGAACTAAGGGTCTCACGTGTGATTTCCAATCCTTCTTCTGACTTGGCTGCAGAATACCAAGCATGTCAAGCAGTGTCCGGTTAAACCTTTCTGTCATGCCATTCCCCATTGGATGGTACGGTGTGGTCCTTGACTTAGATAGGCCTAGAATGTCACAAACCTCCTTCATAAGTCTACTTTCAAAGTTTGCACCCTGGTCACTGTGGATCCGCATGGGCATCCCATAATGCATAACAAAATTGTTGTAGAACGCCTCTGCTGTTGTCTTGGCAGTTAAGTTCCGAGTAGGTATTGCCTGGGCGTATCGTGTGAAGTGGTCAGTTATCACAAGCAGATGTTGGTATCCTCCCTTTGAAGTCTCCAGAGTAAGGAAGTCCATACAGACTAATTCCAAAGGCTGGGTACTTGTGATACTAACGAGAGGCGCACGTGCATTTGTTGGTGTCTTCCTTTTCAAACATCTGTTGCAATTCCTGATCCAGTCTTCTGTGTCAGCTTGCATCCCTGGCCAATAGAACCTGTCACGTAGGAGTGATAGTGTTCGGTCACGTCCTGGATGTCCAATCTCGTTGTGCAAGCCTTGTAATGCATCAGGGATAAATCGTGATGGCAACACCAGCTGATACTTTGTCTCTCCTTCAGACTTGATCTGGCGATATAGAATCCCACGCTGGAGAGTGAGGTTGTCGAAGCATCGATGTAATGATGTGTCAGCTGGGGTATGCGGATAGTCTTGTCTCCTGGGTTTCCTCTTGGCTCTTACTGCTTGGATCCATGGGTACAGGGTTGCGTCAGCAGCCTGTGTCATACGCCCATCCCGGTCTGTCATTCCTTGCAGATCCTTCCCTTCTTGGTGCAATTCCTCATCAACTGCAGCTGTAGAAAGGCACAAAGACTCTACGTAAGGCTGAGTGTGTAGAACTCCACAAATGGCTTTCACAGATTCCATGGAAAGTTGTTCTGTGGGGGCGTTGCTACTTAGTTCCGGAAGCCTAGACAAGGTGTCTGCGTCTGTATTCTTCAATCCTGGCCGGTACTGAACATCAAAGTCATATGCTGCAAGGGCTGCCAACCACCTGTGACCTGTGGCATCCAACTTTGCACTTGTGAGCACGTATGTCAAGGGGTTGTTGTCTGTGAGAACTGTAAACTTTGCTCCATGCAGGTAGTCATGGAATTTCTCACAAACCGTCCACTTGAGTGCAAGGAATTCCAAACGATGAGCTGAATAGTTTGCTTCTGACTTGGTGAGTGCTCTACTGGCATAGCTGATGACTCTCTTCACACCATCCTGTTCCTGATATAATACTGCACCAAGTCCTTGACCGCTGGCATCGGTGTGGAGCTCAAATGGTGTTCCATAGTTTGGATATCCAAGGATGGGTGGTGAAGCTAGCAGTGTCTTCAGTTTCTCAAAGGCGTGTTCTTGTTCAGCTCCCCAAGTCCAAGGCTGTTCCATTACCTTCTTCTTGGACTTTCCAGATTTACCATTGGGCATCAGTGATGACAGAGGCTTAGCAATCTTGGCAAAGTCCTTAACAAACTTGCGGTAATATCCGGCGAAACCGAGGAACTTTCTGACATCACTTGGGTTGGTTGGTTGAGGCCAGTTCAATATCTTGTCCACTTTATCAGGATCAGTTGTAATTCCTTCTTCAGTCACCACATGGCCAAGGAACTTGATTTTCTTTTTGAAGAAGGAATACTTCTCTGGAGATAATTTAAGACCTGTATCCCTGATCCTCTGGAATACTTGACTGAGCCTGATGAGATGTTCGCTGACTGACTGGGAGTAGACGATGATGTCGTCCAAGTAGATGAGACATATCTTCAAGTGAAGACCTTCAAAACATTCATTCATAAGGCGTTGGTATGTTGCTGGGCTGTTACATAATCCGAAGGGCATACGGTTGTATTCGTAAAATCCCAAGGGTCCAACGGTGAAGGCTGTTCTTTCCTTGTGTGTTTCCTCTATCTCTACTTGGTGATAACCACTCTTCATGTCCAAGGTGCTGTAAAGTCTTGTTCCTGAGAGGGCTTCGAACATCTCTTCTATCCTCGGAATTGCGTAGTTGTCTCGGATCGTCTTCTGGTTCAGTTGGCGAAAATCTACACATAGCCTTAATTTTCCTGACTTCTTGCGCACAAGCACAACATTGGATGACCATGGAGAGTGAGAACGTCTTATGACACCAGCAAGGAGTAGATGATGCAAGTGATCCTTAACTTCCTGATACATGGCTGGTGGGACTCGACGATGTGGCTGTTTAAATGGCGTGTCATCTACTAAGTCGATCCTATGTTGCACTGAAGAAGTGTGACCAACATCTGTGTCTCCTGTTGAAAAGATGTCGATGTAGTCAGAAATAACTTGTTTCCCTTGTTGAAGTTCCTTGTCTGTTACACTGGCTTCCTTAAAGTCCATAAGATTCATGATATCTGTGTCCTTACTTTGAGTAAAAGGATGAATCTCCGGTACATCTTCTGTGCTAACAACTTGTAGTTCGCATAAGAGAGCACGACTTGGAATGGAAACAGAACGAGTTGTGAGGTTTGATACATGTATGTCCACAAACATCTTCTGTCCTCTTCCATCATATGATACTAAAGTTGGTTCAATGTCAAGGTCGTCTGGGATGACTGATCCTCTTGTAGGCTGAATAATGGCACAAGTGGATCTGTAAGGTAGGGGCTGTATCACATGTCCACGAATAACAATTTCAGAATTAGCTGGAATTATCTTGCGACCTGGCTCTGAACTTCTAATTCGTCCTATGGAGTAGTTGTTCTTGACAAGTTCTCTCTCCTGAAGGGACATAGAACGAAGAGCCAAATACCAAGGAGTATGGAGGTCTGCTTTCTGAAGGAATCTTTCCCCGAACTCCTCCTTGCACTGGAGCATGTAGACAGAGAGAACGTTGGTACCTAGAGTAATTGGAACTGTCTGGTTGTAACAACTGTCAGGAACTACAAGAAGTAAACATCGGACTTTGAATAGAGCACTTCCTGTTCCCTGAATGTCCACAACAATGTACCCACTATACTGTAAAAACTCTCCATCTGCACACTCGATGTTAAGGATGTGTTTAAGTGGCTCAATAGGAATATCACTGTAATTCTGTTGGTAGTAAGACTTGGAAATAGAAGAAATGGTCGCTCCTGTGTCAAGTAGAGCCCTGGAACTAACACCATTGACCATGATATTAGTCTCAGTAGGCTTACCAACTAACTCTGCAACCAACTGCTGTTGAGTGCTGACATGCTGTGTGTCTAGGCCCATGGTCCGCCTCTCCCCATAGGCCGATTGAAGTTTAAAGGACCATTGTCTATCCTGGTTCTACATCCTCTCCTAATGTGTCCAGGTTGTCCGCATCGGTAACAAACCGGAATATCAGAAAAGGTCTGTGGTCCTTGGAATCTATGTTGACCACCACGTCCAAACTGCGGATTTTCTCTAGGCTGTTGTGGACGTATCCACTGTCGAGGTGGTATCTGCCATGATTGACCTTGGCCTTGGTTATACCTTGCTGCTCCTGTGTTTGCCTGTGAAGAGTCTGATTCCTTGGCGTCCTTATTCTGTTTCTTGAGAGCAGCAATCTCTATTGACATGGACTTCAGGATTCCCCGGATTTCTTTAAGCTCTGAATCCTGAGTGAATGTGGCCTTACTTGTGGCATCAGGCTTCTTCTTAGACACTGGGTTCCTCTCCTTTAAGTCGGCTTCCGCCTGCCTGAGGTAACGAAGAAAGTCTTCAAATGATCCACCTTGATCAAACTTGTGACTTGTGAGGTCCCTCAGTTGTGATCTAAGTCCAGTCCACAAGGTAGTCCTTAGTAAATCTTCTGTTTGTCCAGGCTGTACTTTTCCAAGTGTGACTCCTTGGCTCAAAATATCCTCTAGTCGGCATGACCACTCTGCTACACTTTCTTCATCCCCTTGCTTGGCTGTGTAGAACTGTGACATAATGTTGTGTTCTGTGTGAACATCACCAAACACGCTAGCAAGCTTGGAGATGATTGTCTTCAATGGGGCATCCTTGTCTACATGCATAGCCACTCTAGCAGCTCTACCACGTAACGAGCGCCGAACAGCTTCAGCAACGATCTTTGAAGAGTAACGAGTAGACATACAAGTATACTCGTGTCTCCATTGATCGAAATCGGCATCCCCCTTCCTG